CGAAAGGATGAAGTTGCTTCACCATAGGGATCGTTACTCTATATAATTTTCGACTTTCTTTAGCTTAATTGATCAATGGGAAGATCATTATAATGTACTAGGCTGGCTAAACTTGAAAAACAGGGGATCATATTAAAATATGAAGGATTGAAAAACATGGAGCACAAATATCACAACGGAGTCATGATCATGCTATTTTATTCAGATTCGTAAATCAAACTCTTCATATGAATGTCATGCTCCAACCAACCGGAATCAAAATTCAAAACACAGAAAACTAACTTGTTATTATGCTCTCCATCTAAACAACGTAGGCATAGATGCAACGACATTATTAATCAATCAAATAAATCTACAATGTCGGAATCACTCTCTTCGAATACCTGACGTGGTTCTGATCTTCCTCCTAGCAAGATGTATGAAATTGGAGAACTGCTCACTGTGGTTGTCCTTCTTCTTCATGCCATGATCCTCATTATTATCCGTACAATCTGCCAAAGCGTCGCTCTGGCGCCTACCAGCATTGGACGCCGTTCTGATTTTGTATTTCGTACGTTCTATGTAGTCATCGAACAAACCATTCATGTTCTTCTTTTCGACTGTTTCTGAGACTCTGACATGAGTCACTGAAGCCTGATCTTTGGTGGGTGCTGGGATTGAGTAATCGAAGTTGATGGGTATGGCTTCTGATGAATCATGCTGAGGCTTTGTGGTGTGTTCGGTTTGAATATGAATGGTTCTGACAGGGGAAGAAGATGGTGGGGAGTTAGAATGAACAGCCACAGTTTTAGAGTGTGGACGATTCTGCGAGAAGCGGTTGGTGATGGCTCTAAGAGTAGGACATGTTGACAGTGCTTCTTTCATTTTCTTGCACCTGAAATACTCTGAGAATGAGCTGTTCTTTCTTTCCATGGAACCAGTTCTGCTTCTTCTGACCTATTATTTGATGAGATCACAACACTACTAATTAAGGGGCTTACTTCAAGTTGTCAAGTGTGTAACATCTGCCAGTTTAATTTATAGGCTTCAATTGTCTCACTGAAAAGCAAAGTTAGATAGGATATATCTGTTGTTTTTACGTTCATACGTCCTTACAATTTTTTTTTGGGAAAATAAGAAAAATAATCGAAATCTTGAAACCCTTGAAAACGCATGGAATCACTTTTAGTTATATTATATGCTGTGCTATGGATATATGTTTGTTCCACATGACTTGTTTGTTGTTTCCAATAGGAAAGTAAAGAGTTATAATAGGCCCCGCATATTTGTAGGGCTTGAACTTTCGAAATACGTTATTTTTGTCAACATTGGGTGGATACAGGCAAACTTTCCTCATCAACATTTCAATATGCGTTGAATTTAAGGTGGGGATTTTTTTTTTTGGGGGGGGGGGTTTTCCATGATATAGAAGAGAATAATCATATATATAAAAACCATCTTTTTCTTTGAAATGTGATCCTTGTGTGAACGAATTGTCATTGTAGAAATAATTTTCCGCCTTTTGTTTCTGATTGGGAGAGGATCAATTCCTTGCTTTGTTTGTTGTCCCCATCATTGAAAATAGCTTATGACAATAATAAAGTCAAATCTGTCACACAATGAGGATTTAGCTGTATGAACATCAGCCCTGCAGGGTCGTCCGCTGAGAATTTACAGCCAAAGTGGGTGGTATCAGATTCGGCAACCCTAATTGAATTCCCACAAGTCTATGAATTATCAAACCTCACATGAGGAAATGTGATTCCATAATATTGGTTTAGTGGAAAACAATGCGGACTTAGTATTATACTACCTCCGGTTCTAAATATAAGAGCTAGTTAAGTAATTTGAGTAGATTAAAGAAGTAAGTTAAGTTAGTTATTTGTAATAAATAGGTGTTGTTTTTCTTAAAATATCCTTGATAATCAAGTTTATTGGCTAGAACTAACATTACTAGAAGGACTATCTTGGAAACAAAATAGATAAATATGAAAGACAAAGTGGACTGGGGTCTTATATTTAAGACTAAAATAAAAATCAAACAAGATCCTATATTAAGGATCGGAGATAGTATATGACTAATGTACAAAGCAACCGCTGTTACAATTAATATTATACTCCTAGATTGTGTTCCATTGGCCATTTTGTGCAGCCGGAATATGAACAAGCTTCTGATGATGGGTGTGTGTGTAGTTTAATCTGGAAGAATCACACGTTTCGATTTCTTTTACAGTTTGCATTTAGGGAGCATATAATAATATTCTAATGAATTCAGTAGGGACTAGGGAGATTGTAGCATGGAAATGCTGTCGGATTTATACCTGGAGGACTCTTCTTCAATAGTTATCCATCGTGTTCAGACCAGGTATCCTTCAAAGAAAGAACCAAAATAAAAAAAGAAAGAACAAGGTAGAGTAAAAATACCCAAAAAAAGAAAGAAAGTAATTATATTTTTTGTCTTATAAGAAAATTTAATTAAAAATATATTTATAAAATTTAAATGATATTCCCCCTTTCTAATTATAAGAACTGTTTTTTTTTTTTTGGCAACTTTGGTTGCTTTTGTATACAAGGTACTCTTTTTTCAATCCTGTCAATTGCGTTTAGCCTTTTTTTTCCCCCCCAAAAAATGCATCTATTAACTATGTATATATGAAATCATTTGATTGATTACATTGAAGAATAATTTTGGCAAAACGGTGTCCATTGTCGACAAATTTATTATTTTTAACTAAAATAACTACTTTTTTGTAATCTAAAATCTAAATAGTATTATTCCATCTTTCCCTATCTACATCCTTCGATAAACAAGACAAGAGGGATATTTTCACCCCAAACAAAAAAAAGAAAGACAAGAGGGATATATTCTAATCACTTATACAGCATCAGTTGACTCAACTCAAACTGTTTTACTAATCCATTTTCCTCACCCCACACTCACCATCTCTGAATTCTCAAGCCTGTTACGCTTTGTGTTTACTTCAAATTTCATGTTACTTTTACAATAGCAGAAAAAATTGAACTAGGCTTGAGTAATTGGAGTTCTCCTCAATGAGTAAATGGTCGGCATTCAAATCCAAACTTTTACATATGTAGCAATCTAACTGGGAGATATTTAATCCTTGTCCGTAGTACTTTGGAAGAAATTAGACTCTTCGCATCTCACAGAAAGGAAAAGCAAATTGAAGAAGCTTTAATTCCACGCCAGTGATATAAATGGTCCAACGAGAATACCAAATCTATGCTTACGTTAGTGACACCACGCACAAGGAGGAGGGGTGGTGATGAGATCATGAGAATGTAACACAGTGGAATGAATGCTTCATTATATGTGAATGGTCTCCATTTTCATCAAGTAAAAAAAAAAAACAGCAAATTCAATTCAAAATGCCAAAAGCATCAGCCAGCCATCCACAGCAAGATTACAGTGAATCAATGAATCATGTTCCTTTCCCATTATATTTGTCCCCACTGCTCAGTCTCAGGCAACTTAAAGCCTTCTATATGGAATCAATTGCATGAGATTCATGCCTCACTTGTTTGGCGTATGCAGTCAACTAAAAGAAAAGCGAAATTAGGGCTTTGAAAATCCAAGTTTGGGAGGTAGCTTATTGTTATGAACAAAAAGTCCTGCAAACTTGTAGCTTTATTCCAACAAGAAAATGATCCTAGAGAGGGAGAGAATAGTGGGCACAAGCCACAAGGAAAACAATTCTTATAATTTTAATGGACACCATCTTTGATCTTACATGCGTTAGCCATGTACATGGCCTCCAAGTATCATATCTAAGATGGCTCAAAAAAAGGGTCACTTGTGCATAAAACGGTAACCAGCATGAGTGGCTACATATAATGGCTATCACAGACATATATGCTGTGTTTCTTCAACCTACCATGTTCTTCCCTCTCAACAAACAACGAAGGGTGTGTTTGAGTTCACATTTGATGGTCCAAACATGCATCTCTACTAGCAAAAGAAGTTTTTTAGATTTAAATGATGTTTGGGTTCAGATTTTTAGAATTTGATTTTTAGATCCAAATGAGCTTTTGGAGAGAAGCCCTATTGTCCTGCTTCCACGGGACGGTCCTGTGGAAAAGACGTTGGGAAAAGGACAAAAACAAATAAGGAAGGAAAGAGAGAGAGAAGGAAAAAGGCAAAGAAAAGACATTCATTATATGAATTAAATAATACTATTTTTTTAATTTTTAATATAAAACCTAATTAATTAATTTAAAGATATTAAAAAACTATAAATTAATTATAGCACAAGTTATATAATCTTTATAAAATACTTGTATGTGTTATCAGATTATACATAATTTTGTAAGTCATATAAATTAGTTTTTAATAACAATTTTAGTATTTTATATTTACATATATTTTTATTTTCATTTTTTGATTTCAACATTTTTCTTAAAATTATCACATTTATATACATACAATATATACAATAAAATTCATATCCTTTTTTGTCATTTTACATCCAAAATTTTTTTTAATTAATCATCCAAATAAATTTTAACTTCTCAAACTAATTTTTTTTATAAAAACCAATTCAAATATAAATGACATCACACTGCCTAACTTTTATCTAATCTGATTTTCACAATAGTTGGATTGAAAAAAAAAAAAAAAGAAGCTTCTTTTACCTATAGTCCAAATGCACCCTAAATGGTTACCTGATTTTCACTTCGTACAAAAAAGTTGTTTATCAAAAGTCTGCTTCATAAACTGAAGTATTTTAAAGAAAGTCATTGTAATGAAATTTACATTTTGAAGACACTTTCGTTTAAAAGAAGTTAGTTTGATAAATAGAAAATTGTTTAGATAATATATAATAAAAAAATATTAATTTTGTGACTATTTATAGGTAAAATGTATAAATAATATAAATTGTAGTTAAAATTTTAACTCGTTGGCCAAAAAAAAAAAAAACTCCCTGAGAAATGCACCAACATCTAAAGTTTCAAAAGCACGTCCTATGGATTATGCTTCAAGTCCGAGGAAATTATACGTCCACTTAAACAGAGGCATCATCCAAACCAAAAAGTTTGGCACGTTAAATGACAAAAACTACTAAGAGGTTTTCAACAACTTAGTCATTTATTTCCATTGCAAATGTCTACATTATGCTATACAGTGTTCCTTACCAGCATACCAACCATGCTTATGCTGTGGGCTAGAATAACCAAAACTAGATGGATGGCATGCATAAGCTAGCACCTTCAAGATCATGTCAAGATGGACCTGCAGACCCCGAGGGTAGTTCCAAGCACTCCCCAGTGGATGGCATGGCATTATCTTTTCTTCAAGCAAATTGTATCCTCACCTTGGGAGATAATGCTCAAGCGACGCTCAGCACTGCCACAGCTAGCAATGCTGCACTTCTGAAGTAAATATCTCTTATGTTCTTATCCAGCTTCTGAATAATCTCCTGATCTTTTAAATTCGATGATTCTTTCAAACCCAATCTTCCTGTGTTTTTGCTGATGCCAATAATTGTGTCCCTTAGCTTATTGACAGCCCATGAAAGCCATACCAGTCCAAATCCAAAGCCGGTGGTGAAAAGCTTAGATGCACAGAAGGGTACTCTTCCACAAGCCACCTTCCATATGACAGATAAGAGGACCGCCAGGCCAGTCCCGGCAATGCCTGCACTAAACTGAGAAAGGAGCTCAGGAAGTTCAGGGCCAGCTTTCTTCAGCGAATGAATTGCCGTTTTTTGGCGGTGCTTTGTGTCCATCATTAAAGACAGAAGACTCTCACATGCATGCAAATAATTCCTTTTGTAGAGATCCCTCTCCCTCCCGACTTTCTTCTTCTTCTTTGATGATGGCTTCACCTTGAATTTCTCAGGACTGCTATGAAAATGGCAACGCATTATATTACTATGCAAAAACAAGAAACTACTATGGACATGATATACCCGGTAAATGAGACATGTTCTTGTAAGAAAAAGATACATTCAACGCAAATGAAAGCAATAGTGCAGCTGATTGAATGACCATGATACCTCAACATCATCATGTTGAAAGATCTTTCATTTTCCGTACCTAAGTAAACATCTTGGCATTGAAAGAAATTTAAATCAACTCAGATTTTTGAAAACAGCATTTGTCTTTTGGAAGGAGGGGGTTTGGAGGCTTGGGGTGCAGCAAAAGGAAATGGCAATTTAGCCAACTGATTTTCCTTTTCTTTTCTTTCCAATTTTGATTTCCTTTTCTTTATCTGTAAGCCTTTCTCTTCGTTTTGAAAATCTTATACAAATATCCACTTGCTGCAATCACAAGTCATCTAATATTATGATTAGTTTTCTGTTTTGGTGCCCCTCATTTCCCAAAAGCAACAATTTATTGCTTTTGGGAGAACGTACATTTTGGAGGCCTAAAATCTTAGAACAAATATAGCTTAAATCCTTTTGCTATGGGTACAATAGTTTGGCTTTCTAAACCAACTTTTAATCACACAAGACTAATGCCCATGGGCATTAATGCAAAACACGTACGAAGAATAAGATCAACCATGACGCTCTGAATCAGCATATCATCTCCCAAACTTAGGATAGCTATTAATGGAATTTATCTTGTATACCTCTTCAAAGGAGCAGTCAATGTAGATTGAGTCTTTGACAGGGAGGTATGAGTTCTGGCCTCTGCTTCATTGATATCCAGCCTGTCCATAAAGAATCGTAATTGAGGTTAGTAGTTTGTTTCAAACTAACAATGAAAGAGCGCTATCTGGGAATTAAAATATGTAAGCGATATCTTTGTATTTTATACAATGATAAACCAAAAAGTTACAGGAAAAATCAAAGTAAAGCAAGGAGTAAAAATGCGAAGGCTAAATCAAAGCAATTGTTTTAAACCAAGTTGCATTAGACAATGTCTATACATTTTAATTGTTCTGTTTACAGAAAAACTGGTTGATTCAGTTTTTTTTTTTTTTAAGGCATAGGTATAGGAGGCAATCCTATTAAGACACTGTCGGGTACTAAATGTGAGTATTTTTCTTAACAGGGATTCGAATATTGATTCACCACATTGTGAGAAACTAGCTTTTTCTGTCAGTCCCAATCCCCGTTGGTTGGATGATTCAATTTAATAATATAGAGAAGTCATTTATTCATGTGGTTTACTCGGTTTAGGTATGGCCCCCAAATTTATCTTTCAAAATTTATTGTTATCCATTCCATACCCTAAGATATGGTATCTAAAGTTTCATTTCATGACAACTTTACTTGGTCCTTGCTGAGGTAGTTGGTAGAAAGTTGACGTGGGAGATGGGGTAGATATCATTTGCCAAGTTCAAGACAAACATCATGGGAGAACCAAAGACTAAAGATTTGCTAGATGGAAAACACGGGGTTGTTTACTGATAGTTATGGAGAAATGCATTTTAGCTTCCTGAGATGTTCCTGTGAGAGGACATGGAGATGTCGCTAGGTAATGTCGGACACTCTTGGATTATTCTTCCACCAAATTAGCGTTGTTTCTACTTCTACTTCTACTTGCGTATGCTAATATTAGTGAATCTTCCAGCTGTCCCCATATCCGAGGCAGTCATTCTGCCTGCATTCATGGCGTGAAAATGCAAACAAGTAGTGAGAGAAGCCCAAGATGCATTCTGTTAGGGATCGCTAGCTCTCTTAGTTCTACCCACAAGTGGATTGATGGAGGTTGGAGCAAGTGAAAGGATAACCAATGATATTTCTGAAGCAGAACAGTCTGTTGTTATGGAACAGCATGGAAATTATCAATGGATCTCTTGAGGTGATGGGGAAAAGCAATTCTAATTCTAAGCCTTATATGGGGCAAAGGATGCTCACAAAGACCATGCATTCCTATCATAATGATCTCAAGCTCTAGGTAGTTGCTGATTGTGGCGCCATTCTGGACTCAGGCTGCGTTCTGTTTAGATAAGTTTCAGGCATGGAGTTTGGTTGCTTGCATATTTTGGATCAGTGGCAGTCAGCAGCTTCTATGCTATATGCAAGGAACACTGCAAGAATTCTAGCACATGATTCTGATTTGACTGAAACAGTGGTCTTGAAATTTCAGGGCTTCGGGCATCTAGTAAATGTTTACCGGTCCTTGTTTGTTGGCAGCTCTAGGCTATATAGATTATGCTTAGATTAATTCTTGCCAAGGTTGGCTTACTAGTCGGTGGGAATCAAGTATTTAAAGCAAGTAAATAGTAGACCATTCTTCAAAATCATAATTCAACACTTGTTTTAGTCGAACAAGACCCAAGTCCATTTGACATACCTTCAATCGTGGGTTGAGATGGGAAATGCATTTCTCATACGTTATGTGTCTCTAATGAAAACTATGATAGTGATAGTATGTGGATCCTTAATTGTAGTAATATGGGCTGCCATATTAAGTATTCAAATTGGTTCTCTCACATAAATAGCTAATTGAGATATTCTTCTCCATCCTATTAGATGAAACATGGAATTTAAATTGATGTTTGACGGCCCTATAAAGGGCTGTTTACGTAGGATTCCCACTAGTAAAGAAGTCAAGTGAAGCATGTAATAAAATGCAGCGGTCAGAAGATCAGCTCACCAAGGACAATTGATTTACAAAGTAATATAGGATGCCTAACTCCACATTCAATAGTGCTAGTTGATCTGTTATGTACTTAATTAGTTCTTTCCCTTAAATAGCTGACTTCTAATAGAAGGTTATCCGACTTGGATCTTGGCAAATGATATCCACCTCATCCAGCATGTCCGCTTTCTATCAACCACCTTAGCAAGGACGAAATGAAGTGATCACCAAATCAAAGTTTGTGGACCAACTCTCAAGGTTCAGAAAATAAAGGGGTGGATTTGGGGCCCAAAAAAATGCAAGGACTAAATTGAAATCTAAGAAAATCTATAAGGACCAAATGATTAATTTTCCCATAAGATCAATTGCATCAAAAATCTCAACATGAAAAATAACTACAAAGTTAATAAAGAAGACTAGATAACCATTCTGTACAAAGAATGACAAATTTACTATGAAAAAAGCAATGTTCAGTGAGTCAAATAGTTATTTGGATGCCTGAACAGACAGGAATTCATGTACTGTTTATTGAAGGCTAAACAGGTTAGTGTATTCATACCTACTGAAGTATGGAACAAGCAGAGAATGCTTTTCTCCCTTGTGTGAGTTTTTTGACAGGTATGATTCAGCAACTATAGAAAGGAAATCCTTCATCGCACTCCCAGCGCCCAAGAATGAGACAAGATCTTCAGGATGAACTAAAATGTCCGGCGAAAAGGCAGAATCTCCAATAAATTCTAACAAAATCCTCCGGATATCAATTTTGCTATTTGGATAGATAAGAGAAGTTGAAAAAGGCTGTTGAGGCACATCAGTTCCCAGCAGCTGAAAATCCATTGAGTCAGACATCAAAGACCTATGCTCTTCACTTATCTCTGTTTCAGAAGCACTGGACTTAAGGAACTGCACTATTTTGTCATGCTTAGTGCATTTTTCAACAATTCCAAAGCCAAAAAGTACTGCATCTGGGCAGGTTGCTGCAAGCAAAGATAAGTGAGATTATACAGAGCACACATAAAATAAAAAGGCAAAATGAATTAAATAGCATAAGTCATAGTGAAGATTCTTTCAAAGATAAAGGAAAGCACGGGAAAATGAACAAACCAGATTTTCATTCTGTGGTTTTCTGCATCATGGCAGCAGTAAATCAAAACACCTAATAGAATGAATCAATATTTGCCGATTACCATCATATTTTAGCAATTGATTGGAGCACATCACACATCAACTTGTGATAGAATGATTATCAGGCCATGACAAAGACCAACACAGACAGCATCCAACAGCAAGAGTGAAGAGAAGTTATGGAGTCACGCTGATTTTAGACGTTATCAAGCCAAAGAAACATACAAGAGCACTCGAATTTTAAAAAGGGTGCAGGTACATTGCATAAATAGTATCTGGCTGGAATAGCAGCCAAAAGTTTTACATTTCCACGCGATAAGGCTTTGAGAAACAACACAGAATCGAACTAATAGATTCACTTAGCAATGGACGAGAAAACAGAGTGTGGGACTTTTTGTAATTTTTTGAAGGAGGTGCTCATATACTTTCCGAGTGTTGGGCCAAGATATGGATACAATCAAATAATTAGATAATCTTCTGCAAATATGTACCATGTAACGGTAGGATCAAATACACAATTTAATCATCTGCACACCTTGGACATCATTAGGCAAGGGCCTTTGAGCTGGTAGGTCAATATTGACAGACTGACTGGAATTGAAGCATTCGCTTTGGGATTTCCGTGATTCCCCACATGGATTTGGCCTTAGAGCAGGAGAAGAATATCTGATAATTTCTGGTTTTGTTACGGGTGAGGACAATAATGGCTGAAAACCCTGTTTGAAGCAACGTCAAAATAAAAAGTAAACCAAATAAAATCAATTAGAACATTACACATACGCAGATTTCCAGACTACTCAACTAGACAACCATAAACGCAAACAAATGTAGTGAAATCAGCTGAACCACGATGATTCAGATTTAAAACGTCATAATATACTTGTTCGCTATAAAATTCCTCGACCAACAGACCAACAAGAATCTCAATCACCATGAACCAGATTTTACCTTCAGACTGCCGCCCAACCCTACTAGCTCATGCTGTGAGACAAGCCCTGGAGGATAACCATGAGAGGCCATTAAGCAAAGTTTGAGCACCATGGCTCAGAGGTACCCGTCCCAGAGAAGGAGTCGCTGAAACCAAAATCCCCCTCCTTTCGTGCTTCTGTCAGGCCACTCTGGGCTTATCCTTCCCTGGACCTCAAATCCCAGAGATTTTCATTTTCCACGAATTAGATTTTGGGTGGCACTGAAAATCTGATAAATGGATTTTCTGCGATCCATTTGTTTGATCCAGAAAGTTCTGATAATAGCTCCATCATACGATGGGAACGGACTTGAATATCCCGGCTGGAGCCCCTGTCAACCTTCGCTCTTGGACTTTTCTGGCTCTGGGTATTGGGTTCTAACAGTGTGTGCCGCACAACCTAGCCCACTTTTCACTCGAGGTTCTCAAGTTCATCTCTACCGTCCAATCTGAAATCATGTTCGCTGTGGGCCCTCCATCGGTTTGCTGACCGTCACTAGCCATAAGAATTTAACCCTGCGCTGCGCCACATGAACCATCCATTTTTTGGAAAAATCCGTGCGAAGGACCCACAAACTTGGGGATTAGTGGATCACAAAATTTATCATAAACTCAAAAATTATTTTTAAAATTATGATTTTATTTTTACCTAATACCCCCTAAATAATATTTACCTAATTATTTTTATCTTATCTCTAAATATAAACGATATTTAGAAGTTGTTTTTAGAAAAAAATAAAACAAAAGACCTCGAACAAATAAAATTTATCATAAAAGGTATTAAAAATTATAATTATTTACGAGACCAATATGAAAATATAAATTTAAATATACTAAAACGCTCCTAACTTAATTCCTTACATTTTTTCTTACATTCAAATTTTTGAAAAGAAAAAAAAAACTAAAGCTAAACCTGCCTGTCACTCCCACAATCATATTCTTTGTTTTTCTTTTTAGTTTTTTTTTCACGGAGATTTAAATCCATATCATCAATATCTTTTACTCTTGCAACTATTATATGACATCACATTTGAAATTTTTACTTTTTTTGTCATAAAACTAATTATTTGTTTTCTGTAAAAAAATCACTAATTCTCGTGTGTGTGGCAGTTTTTAATCTTAAATTATTTATTTTTTATTTTTCATTTTTCTTTTCCACGATAGCTGTGATAGAGAATTGCGAGTACTCGTAACGTTGATGTTTATGTAAAAATTATTTGTGATTTAACTATTATTGAGATTGAGTTGAGCCAATTTTAGTTTTTAATCTTTAATATTTATTCGTTTTTCTTAGATATTTGATATTTGAAGTTTGATGATGATGATGATTTTATGACTTTAGACTAGTTATTTTAAATCAGTCCTAAACTCTTTTGGCTTCTAAAAATCTGGAATTACAAATTCAAAAATCCTCAAAAAAATATAATAAATGTGTGAGTTATGAAATGAATAAATAAAATAAAAATGAATCCCAATTGATCAAACATATTATTCAATCTCTTTGAAATTTACTACATCGATATAAAAAACTATCAAATAGTAAATATGTTATACTATCCAAAAGACCAAATGATATAATTGATGATCTATATAAAGACTCCATATCTAATTCGGTTTGACAGGCAAACGCTATGTATTAAAAAATAATATGCTGTAATCAAAAATTAATTTTGTTTTTAATTATAAAAACCAATTTCATTTTAGTTTTGGTTTTTTATTTATTTTAAAGTATAAGCAATTTAATACTTTTGATTTTATATTTGGATATTTGGTCCCTTTACATAATTACAGTTTTTATGATCCTCCATAATAAATATAATTTTTTCTAGGTCTTTCATTCTAATTCTCTCTTATCGTTAACTTTTGTAGTAAATTTTCTATTTTATTTCTATTAAAAATTTATTTTAATAGTTAATATATTGATTTTTTGTTTTTCAAAACATCATTCCCTACGCAATAAACGTTGTAAGGATCATATTTTAATATAATATCTCGTCATCACAGATTCATTTTTCATAATTCTTTTTATTATAAATTTTTTTCCCATCTTTTATATTTACTCCCACAAATAAAGGTATTTTGAAGAAAAAAAACCTTCAAATTTTACACATTTATTGTTTTTAATTAATTTTAACTAATTTTTTTATTTGCGTAATTTAGTTCAAGATTTCTTAACTTTTTTTATAAAAAGAGACGGAGTACTTACTACAACTTTAGTTTTCCTTTTTTTTGGCACAAAGGCCTAATAGAAATATTCCTTCCGTTTTTTATTATAAGATCTTTTTAACTAAATTATACAGTTTAAAAAATAATTAAAATTAATTAAAAATAACTAAATGCAGAAAATGCAATTTTTTTTTCAAATATACTCATATATATATATGAGTAAATGAGAGAAAGTAACAGTGAGATAATAAAAAAAAGAATGTATTAAATACATTAAATTATAAGTAAAATAGGTAATAATGTATTAAATACTCAAATAAACTCAAAGATCTTATAAAAAGAGACAAACTTTTTTTAAAATTGAATATTATAATAAAGGACAGAGAGAGTACCACGTTACAGGGCATGCATGTTGTGCGAAAACCATTTTTAATACCCATTTCAATGTCAATTTCAGTTAGTGGTGAAGACAGGGCATAGAGGTTGTTTTGTTTAGCTTTATATAAGTAATTTTATTGTATATAAGGTAAACATGTGAGAAAAATTTTATTTTGATTTGCATGCATTTTTTTTAATTGACTGTAGAGATATCCCAACCCCACCGCATCATGCACACATATTTATAACTTTGTCTTTTGTTATGGTTGTAATATATGTTTTGTCTTTAGGATCCGAGGAGTAATTTTCTTGAATCGCATAAAAGTAGAGTTAACCGAGAGATTAAGAAAAGGACTATTGTGTTATTGAAACTTGTGAGATTAAGAAGTGACACTGATAAGGATTTTCCCCCTTTAATGGTCTCCCCTCTCTGATAGAAGCAGGGAGCAGTGAAAAAGATGATGGTGTCACCCGTACGCCTTTTTTGTCTTTGCCTTGTTGCACCGTGAATGTTAGTTTTCCTTTAGAATAATATTGCAGCTTATGCCACTGCCACACATCAATATTGAGTCTTCATTCCATGACTTTGGGCTGTTCATATTAGTTTCTCAAGAACGATTTTAGAGTATGCGGGAGGAATTTTGTTTTAACTTTTGTGAAAGCACTTTTTAAGTATTTTTTGAGATTTTCACACATCCCTCTAACCTAATATTTTGAGCTTAATAAACACGGAATGAATATTTTTTTAATCTCTTAATAAACTAAGGAATGAATATTTTCATATTTTGTAATCACCCATGTGAACAGTGAGAATGATGCCAATGAAAACTTTGATATCAATTCATTAATCTCTTTAACACCGGTTGGAATGTAGCTACTTTCATGTTTGATGTTATGTTCTTCACCCTTCTATTTGGCACAGTTCTGCCTTGGCCGTGTGTTAAAATTTTATTTGTTGAATTTTATGCTCGTCCGTCCAATTGTAAGTAAAACCCAACAATCGGACGTATATGAGTAGTATGATTTAGAATTTTATTCACCGGTTTCAATTTGATTTTCTTTTTCAAAGAAATCTCGAAGAATTTGATTATTTT